CTCCTAATACTTCCAGATTGTCTTATAATTCTGTCAGTTCCCCATAAAGTTTCTGTGTCCCAAGCCCTATTATCTGTTCCCAAGGTTACTCTGGATAAAGATTCTTTGAAAACAATGGGTGGTTTGTGCTCACTTCCCACTGATGCAAGAACAGCCTGCTGGCTGCTGTGTGTCTGCTTTGAGAGCCATGGCTCAGAGATGGAAGAGAGTCCAGGGGTGGAGAAGAGCAGACAAGGTAGTTAGCTAGCTACTAAGATCCAAGTGGGATGGAGAGGGCCATGGAGTCTTATACAAAGAATGAGTGGCTTGTGGCGCCTGGTGGGAGGTACCACTAATTTTGTCCCAAATGGAATCATATTATCTCAGGTTTACTTGAAAATGTGTACATAGTATATGTTTACACATACATATGTGTATATATATTGAATATATTGAATGAAGATATGCCACTTGGGGTGATAATGCTCTGCCCAAGAGCCATAGACTAGCTAACAAAATTCCCAGTGTCTGGCATGGGAAACCTCCTTTCAAGTTGTTGGTCAGGGGAGTCGAAGAGACTCCCAGAACAATCCAGGCCCTCACCCTTGTTTGTCTCCCAGAACTTAAAAGCTAGACCTCATTGCTGAAGATGCCATGTGCATTTGACCCAAGATTCCAAGGAATAGATCTGGAACTGACCTGGAAGCCACCTCCCTGAGGGGTAGCTGAAGACTCTACACAAGCTGCCAGGAAAGGAAGCCAGTCAACTGTCAAGCCAGCTGTGAAGCCCACAGACCACCCCAATGACCAGCACGGCGAGAGAGCCCCAAGGGTGTAGTAGTGACTCCTGTGTCTTGAGGGCAACCAACAGCCATCTAAATTGGACCTTAGGCAAATTCAACAGGAGAGAACTGCTGTCTGGTACATGAAACCTAATCAGCTACCAACTACCCGTGGCTGGTGAAGCCGTCGATCCTAAAAGAGGACTTAGCATGCCACTTCCCCAAGTCAGCACAGCTCCTAACAGCATCCTAAATACTTCTCCTTATGCTCGCAGTAAATGAGCTCTTGCTTCTTCTTGCAGCAGATGGAAACCATCTCAGAAATCTATGGCCAATCAAAATGAAGTGGGCAACTGTCCGTGGGGTGCCCAGCCCCAAGTCACCCCTCTACAGTACTCCTCCTACACACACGGCTCCAAGAACAGCACAGGAGAGAAGACAGAAAGACTTCAAGAGTCAGAGCAGAAAAACTACACCCATAAAATCCCATAAATTTGGTCATGTAAACAGGGCTGGTCCAATGACAATGTGGGTGGGGGTCAATCTCACAAGGCCCTACCACTCGATAAAGAGCTGGGGCGATCAATGGCGGCTGAGAGAAGATCAGCTTCTGCTAGAACAAGTGCCCTGTTGGGTAATCAGGTTAGTGGTCAGCCCTAAACAAATGGGACGAGGTGGAGGGGAGAGAAGGGGGGGGGAATGTAAATACAGTACTCACATATGAAATTCTAAAAAATAAAATTTAACTTAAAAAAAATGAATGAAAGGCAATGCCCTTGTCTTAAAAGGATACTGCAAATATGGGGGCAGGGGGCAGGGGTGGGGTAATGCTGTCACAGGGCGGGGGGGGGGGTATGCTGTCTAAATGTATAGGGCCTCAAAAAGCACCAGCCTAGGATTCTGCCTCAACGCAGACCAAAAAATCCTCTTCTTGGGCTGGGGAGGTGGCTAAGTCAGCAAAGGGCTTGCTCTACAAACGTAAGGACCTGAATTCACCCTAGAACCTGTGGAAACAGCTGGAATAGTGGCCCATGCCTGTAATCCCGGGACAAGGGGAAGGAAGCAAATAGACCCCTTGGGCTTACTGCCCAGTTGTCCTAGCCTGCCTGGTGAGTTTCAGGTCAGAGAGATAAACAAGGTACATGATGCTTGAGGAACAACACCAAAGATTGACCTGTGACGCAGACACACAAGCACGCACATACATACACATGCATGCACATGCACACACATGCCTACACATGTGTGCACATACATACCCCAAAACAAACAAACAAAAAATCCCAGAAGGTCACCAGCTTGCAGAATAGCCCCAAATGCCAGTAAAGATCCCAAGTTCCTCTCCTGTCCCTGTCAGATGCCTGAGCTGAAGATGTTTACAAGGTGGAAGTGGAGGACTCACCCAGGTCTAGATCTGCATCATCATTATTGCCAGACCTGTAACGCATCCCCGCCCCCACCCTGCTGTGATGGGTGAGCTGACTTCTTTGGGCAGAGGAAATCAAGTTTAACGTCCCTGACTTCTCTCCCTCAGTTCCGCAGGCAGCTGCAGGCACACGTTGGAAGGGTCACACGGGTGTCTGCTTTGGAAGACCGGAGGGTTGGGCCATTTGAATGCGACTGAGCTTGATGTGTCCCTGAAGGCTGCAGCTGGACCACCTCGACCCCAAAACAGAGCAGGGCGTGCCGCAGAAGAAAGCGCATCATGTCTAAGCAAAGAATAAACACATTTAATGCTGGGTTTGTCTGTGGTGGTGTTCAGCCTCCTCCTCCTCTCCCTCCTCCTCCTTTTCCTCTTCCTCCTCCTCTTCCTCCTCCTCCTTTTCCTCTTCCTCCTCCTCTTTCTTCTCCTCTTCTCCTCTTCCTTCTCCTCTTCCTCCTCCTTCTCCTCTTCCTCCTTCCTCTTCTTCCTCCTCCTCCTTCTCTTCCTCCTCTTCTTCCTCCTCTTCTTCCTCTTCCTCCTCCTCCTCTTCCTCCTCTTCCTCTTTCTTCTCTTCCTCCTTCTCCTCCTCAGGACCTCTCTGTTTTTCCCTTTCCCCACCTCCCCAAGTGTTTCAAGGTCTCTCAAACAGGTAAAGGGACACATGGAACCGAGTGTCTACTGCTTTACATGGTTCGGTCACGTGATCCTCCTCTGGTCCTGGGAGGACAATGACATTACTGTCATTTAAGGATGAGGATGCTGAGCAAAGCCCCCCACCCAGGGCAAGAGATGGCCCTCTCTTACACACAGACTTCTGGGTTTTAGAAAGGTAGTCTATGCCAACAGGTGACAAAGATATGAGACACTCTCCAGGGACAGAACAGGGTCCCGGAGCTGCCACCACCCTTGGGTCTGAGGATGTCTCAGGCATGAGACAGAGGAGCTGGAACTCGGAAAGAAAAAGCTCTCCTAAAGAGGACCCCCAGCCTGAGGTAGCCCTGCCGAGCAGGCCTTGGGGAGCAGTACACACCCGAGCCCTCACATCTCCTCCTGCCAGGGTCCCCCAGTACCTGAACCCAAGGAGACATGAGACAGGCTACAGAACAGTGGCAAGTGGACCAGGGTGGGTACTCAGGCTCCCGCGCCTAGCCTGAGGTCTGCGCCCAAGCTCACAATGGTTGTGTGTGGCCCATGATCTGAAAAACTACAGTTCTTTCCCACTCTCTAAGCCTTTTTGGGGAGATGACCCCTTGGGTCATCAGGCCACCAGCACCCCAGGTGCTCACCCCTCCTCTACCAGTGCTTGGCTCTTTGCTCTTCCTTAACAGGACATGTCCCTGGGTGTCACAGTACTGAGTGAGTACTTGTCACACAGCCCTTGTCTGCTCTAACCTGTAAAGGGGGGGTCACCCTCAATGCCGCCCTCAGCTACGCCAAACGAAGCAGTGATGCTTGCTGGATGGAAGGTAGATGTAGCAGGTCCCCTGGGAGAATGATTGAATTTTATGGGGGAAGGAACGTGGGACCAGAGAGACCAGGCTGCAGGCATCCTGCCATCACCAGAAGCACGTGTAACTCATTACCTCCCCTGGCTTCCCGTGGGCAGCCATGGATGACGCCACACGTGCGCTGGGGCGGGCTGAGCCCAGGGAGAGAGCAGGACTGTTTTTCTGACACTAACACCTCTCTCAGGGCCTCACAAACCGCTTGAGAGGAGGCGGGCCCAGCCAGGCGCCTTCCATTCCCAGGCTGCCTCTGAGCCCAAGATCCTGCCTAGAGAGGCCCCCAGTTGGCTGAACAGGCAGGGGAAACTAAGGCTGGAGGCGGGAGGTTGAAGCAAGGCTGAGGCAAGGGATGAGAAGGAGCATGGGAGGGAAGGAAGGAAGAGGAAGCAGGCCTGGCTGCCCCCGCTTTGAGTTTCTGTTTGGAGGGCTGAGCGAGACCACATGGCAGAAGAGGCCTTTGGGGGCTTTTCTGGAACAGTTCTTCTAAGCATTTCTGCTATAACATCTCGTATGCAATTGCCTAGCAGGTTCTAGTGCCTGCCCTTAGCCTTCTGGTCTACAGTGGGCTCCAGGGAGGCTGCTGAGAGGTAAGACATAGAAAAGAAGACAGAACCTCAGAGGTACAGAGGACCGGAACTACCAAGGCCATCGGGGAAGGTGGACAGCTCCACAGATGTAAGGATAAGATGGCGCCGTGTTTGAAAGTGTGTGTGGGGGTGGTCAGGGGGGCTTTCATGGAGGGGACCAGTGACGAGCCACAGTCCCTCCGCTTCCCTTCCCACCTGTGAAGTACAAATCAAAAGGAATGAAGGCAGGGAGGGGAGGGGAGGGCAGAAGCTAGGAGCAAGCAGAGAGGAAGAGAGAAGGGAGGGGAAGAAACAGAAGGGGCGGGAAGGGAGGGGTCAACAGTCGTAAGTAATAAACGCAGCAAGGTGGTATGGGAGATGCTGTTGGGGAAACGCCCCTTCCTTTGCGCTGAGGACACTCCCTGGGCAAGGGACTCCCCCTCCTCAATCCAGCATGCAGCATGAGGCTGTGACCCTCAGACCTGGTGTTGCTTCCATGCTCTGGAGTTCTGACCTGAGCCTGAAAAACAGGAACCCTCGACCCTGCAGCCTGCACAAGAACTGGTTTGAGGAGACAGCTGCCTGTGGCTTTGTCCTTTGTCCCTGATGCTCTGGTGAGAAGGGTAGGGGGCAGCGATCGAGGAAGGGGCAGTACCAGAGCACCTGCACATGCTGGCTGGCTGTGTGAGCATCGTCTTTCCATGAGCTCCTGCCTAGGACTCTCCTGAGTGAGCCCAGCGCAAGCCGGTGGCAGACCCGGGCCACACCCCTGAAGGCAGCCTCGCCAGGTCAAAGGCAGATTCTGTGTTTTAATTCTCACCCACCTCCTAGTCAATTTCTCTATCAGTTCAGAATCCAGAGATGAGGATCAGTCACTTAGTAGCATCAGTCCGCTTTTCAATTCCTTTCCCAGGAAGAAACCCTGAATTACGGGCAGGGAAGCCCTGAGTCAGTCTTCAGTCCATTACTACATGAGTGGCCTTGGGTGAGTCATGTGCTGTCACTGAGATCTCCTGAGTGTCCACCACCTACACAGTGTCTGGAGAACCCAGGGAAGAGCCTGTCACCTCCCCTGGCTTCGAGTCTCTCACACACACACACACACACACACACACACACACACACACACACACCACCCAAAGAAGAGTCCAGCTGGGTGGAATACATGATATTTTATGCAATGATTGGTTATGGGTTTGTGTCCCCCAAAAGTCTCAGGTGTTGAAGCCTTGGTCCCCAGACACTGGATCGGATCCTTGAGAACTGAGAGGCTCCTGAGGGCCCTTGCATAATTGGTGGGTTGGCACAGTGATGGCCTCATAATTTGATGGCATCATTTGTAGGTGATGGAAACTTCCAGAACTTGGGTCTGCTTGGAGGAAATAGGTCATTGGAGTCTTGCCCTCGGGGGCTGTAACTTACCCTAGGCTTATTCTCTGCTTCCTGGCCACCATGGAGTCAAAAGGCGGCCTCTGCTACCTACACTCCCACAGTCACGATGCTCTGCCTCACCTCAGGCCCAAACAATGGATCCAGTCAACTGTAGGCTAAAAGCTCTCAAAAGGTGAACCCGAATGAACCCTCCCTCCTGTGAGCTGTGTCTGCCGGGTGTTTTGTAACAGTGGCTGGACACCAACAAACAATACAAGCTCTGAGACCCAAGCAGGGCTGTGCCCGGGGAAGTGGTCCGTGGGACTTGAGATGGTGGACGGGACACAGGTCGGTGAAGAGGGTGAGGTGGGAAGGCTATGGCTGCCTCAGGAAGCGTGTAAGAGCAAGAGGGTCCAGACAGAACCCATGGACTCTCGTTGGGAGGGATGGGGCAAGGAGGCCTAGACAGAACCCAGAAAGGATGCAGCCAGGGCCAGGCCTCTGTCCAACATGAGTATTTACACCCATGATTCTCATTTATTTTATATATTTTTTTTTCTGGACAAGGTTTTTCTGAGTAGCTCTGGATGTCCAGGAACTCACTCTGTAGATCAGGCTAGCCTCAAACTGGAAAATCTGCCTGGCTATGCCTCCCTTACAAATGTTACTTTTTAAAAAATAATTTACTAGTCTTATTTTATGTGCATTGATGTTTTGCACGCATATACTCCTGTGTGAGGGTGTCAGATGCCCTGCAACTGGAGTTACAGACAGTTGCGAGCTGTCATAGGGGTACTGAGAATTGAACCCGGGGCCTCTGGAAGAGCAGCCAGTGCTCTTAACCACTGAGCCATCTCTCCAACCCCCACCCACAGTTCTTAAAGTCCCACCTGCAGTCAAATCTGTGTCACACCTGAACAGCTGGGCTATGCTTTGAGGACCTTGCTCCACGCCAGGACCCAAGGGCCAGCCTCCAACAAGAGGAAACACAGGCCCCCTCCCTCTCTCCACCCACCCTACATTTTAGGAGTCAGCCCTAGAAGGGGCTTGGAGTTCATCCAACACTTCTGTTTTAATCTCCTGAAGGCCTCTGGGACGGACCTGGCCCAGGCTCCCCCGCTTCGCCAGCTCCTTCCAGTTTCCTCTTCCCTATCTTGGCCTCACGCCCCTTGTTCCCCTGTTTTACTCTCCGGAGAGGAAGATCAAAAAAGTATCCGGATCCTTCCAAAACAGATCCAATCTGGCTCAAGTCTCCCTGTTTCTGCGTCCCCTCCCAGAACCTACCAGCCAGGGGCCAAGAGTGAAGGAATGCAGAAAACTCAGGAGCGGGCCACAAAGGCTTTTGCTTGGCTGCTTTTAGATCCCAAGGCCCTTGTGCTCTCGTCCTTAGTTCGTTAGCTCTTCCATGAACAGCTGAGAGTGCTTGTCCTGCACGGGGCCTGGGAGGCGTCCTGGAACGAAGCAGCCCTCCTACTTTGGAAGAGGTGCCAGGCCTCCTCCAGGCCACCTGCTGCTCGCCATGTGAGCAGAGAAGACACAGTGTAACAACTGTGCAAAAAGTGTGTGAAGAGAGAAAAGGTTGTGGAAGCATGGAAAATGAGAGGTGGAAGACAGAGGTGGGACAGGAGGCAAGAAGAGCAAAACCCAGAGTTCCGGAGGCCTGACTCAAGGGGCAGTGACCTTTGGTGACTCCCTCCGCCTACCCTCAACCCCAGTGCTATCTGGCCAAACCTGGCCTCTCTGCTGATGTGCCAATGAGACCCGAACCAAGTCAAGAGCATGGGTCAGCATCACCCTTGCTGATATCTTGAGTAAGGCAACACACACACACACACACACACACACACACGCACGCACGCACGCACGCACGCACG